TAAACACAAACCAACAAATAAACAAACCTCATCCTATCATCCAACTACCCACTCCAAAATCTCAAAATTTAGCAACCCTAGACACATAAAATAAAATCTCAAAAGAACCGCATACCTAGGTACCGAGTATCCATCTGCCACCCATCCCGATAATCCCACATAATATAACATAACCCAACACACAACCCAACCCAAGGTAACATCACACAACCTCGGAAAATCCCCACTCCCAAGCCGCGATTTTTACCTACCGCGACCAGTTGGATGGTTTTGAGGTATCCGAGGTACCTATCTACCTATAATAAGGTAAGCAACGCGAAGCGATGAATTATTTACATATTCATGTTATGTAAGAGTTATCGAACATACTCACCGCACACCGTGATGTTTTGTGACATAATCCCTGCAAAATTCATGTTTTGCCATATAAACTAAAATATTAAATAATTAATACAATTCTTGATATTAAATTGAAATAAGTTACTAATAGATAATCTGACTTATTTTCTATATATAAAAATTTCTAATTTATTTTTAATCATTTTTGTTGAAAAATTATATAAACTTTTAATTGAAAAAGTTCAGAATTTTTAACTTGTAATACTTTTCTTATACAAAATAAACGAATTTTTCGATTTTTTTTTGAATTTTCAACTTTAACCCTTTAAAAATATTATTATAAAAATATTTAAAAATAAATGGTATATTTTTTCGAATAATTTTAATAATTTTAAATCTTTTTATAAATTTTTTTTTAATTTTATTTTTTATTATAATAAATAAACTAGGGTATGAAAAGGTGAATAATCTTTTATTTTAGCCAGAAAAGCGTTACATGTGCGGTGAGCAGGGGCTAGAACTCTTACATGTGGCTGGATTTTCAGCTTGGGATTACCTATGAGGTTATGAGATTCTATGGGATGATGTATTGAAATTGTTTGTTTGCTGTAATGAGGAATTGTAGTGGTGATTGTTTAGAGACTATTGTGGAAATACGTATGATTGGTTGAATAAGGGTATATAAATTGAAGACTTATTATGCGAAATAAAGTATTGAATAGGATATCTATTCATGTACCTAGCTATATGTAAATAAATAAAGAAATAAAAAGTCTGAATACCTTAAGATACTTACTTACATATATACATACATATATACATACATATATACATACATACATATATATATATATATACATATATACATACATACATACATACATACATACATACATACATACATACATAAATACATACATACATACATATATACATGCACCTCACACAATCCATCCCCATAATCATCTCCATACCCATCCACCCCTCCCCCTCCCCTCCATCCTATCCACTCCTCCTCTCCGCAAACCCACAGACCCTCCCTTCACCAACACAATTTGTTGCACATCTCAAATTCCTGAGGGTGTAGAGGAATTCCCACTCACGAAGCGGTGTGCAAGGTCTACACCCCATCTGCACACGCTCAACACCTATTACATGTACCATTTGCATGTATGATTTTTCAGCGTGGCGGTCGGGTTGTGTATACGTGGCAGTTTGTGTTGCTTTTTTTATTATTGCGGGATGGGTGTGTTGTTTTTATTGGGATGGATGGATGGAAGGGTGTGGTGTAAGCGAATTTTGATGTGCTGGTGGGTGTGGGTGGTGGTCAGGCTTAGCTTACCTACCTAGGTACCCAGGCTCCCAGGTACGGATAGATATGTGAGAGAATTTCCGCCCCCGCTGAGATATTCCGCTCCTGCACCGAGGTATGATTATAACGTAATATTCATGTGACAATTATGTAAATATATTTATTCTTGTACCCCAATACTACATACAATTGGTTTAACATCAATACTAGGTAGATATATGATGAAAACAAGATCCAGACTTTAGTCATCCAAAATAAATCACGTGGTGAAATGGAAGATAAAATTCTAGGAAATTATGAGAGGGAAAGGACTCCAGATTTAAATGCTTTCCTCAATTATTAGATCTACAACAGACCAGTGATTTCTTAAATTAAATCACGACGTATGATGTCGAAGGCTTGAATCAAAACCGGAATGAGATCTTGTCACTAACCTTACCGAAATATACAAATCTCAGTCTATCTCTCTATCAGGCAAAACGGGACGATGAATCCTTCCTTTTAGATTGAGAAGAAAACACTGAGACTTTGAGGGGTCCGCTTGTTTTAACAGTACGCGATTTCTTGAGAAAGTTCAAAGCGACTCGAGAATTGATAAATCCAAAGCCTCATTCATGGTCTGGAACCTTTTGAAAACTTCATTTGGTTTGCGATATATCCAATCCCGTGACATTTAGAGGCTCGGCGAAAAATACGATCTGCAACAAAAACAACAAAGTGCGGAAGAATATCGGATGAGATGAAGCAAACATCGTGGAGAGAAGTTTCAAAAGAACTCTTTGATTGTTTCGAGTCGATTGCTTGCATTGACACGAAGGGAAAGAAACGCGAGTCAAATAGAATAGTGGAAGAATTGAAGAGAGAATATCCTCGTGAAAGATACTAGGTACTTGGTGGAATCAAAAAGGCTACTCCATCAATTGAGATCAACCAAAACTCCTGAAACCATCGAGTGTAGAGGCAAACTACCAATATCATTTTCCCGTGATCAACAACTTTGGAAGGACGATCAAAACACCAGATCGTCACACTCATAATTCCAGATGCGAGATATTGTCAGATTAGATCAAGTTAATTCCATCATATAATCACGAATGAGCCGAGTCAAAACCACAAGCTAGGTGAGTAGCTGGGTTATGAACTTGGGTGTGATCTCCGGTAAGCTCTTTGCTATCATCATTCAAGATCTTGAGGATTTCAAGGGGTGTATGGTCGAGGTTGAGGTATCGTCGCTTGAAGATACAATGGTACATATCTATCTAGGTAGTACCTATGGATGAGTAAAGGGCGACGTGCTCAAAAGTTCTGACTCATTTTTGAGAAGCAAAGCTTTGAAACGAAAGTTGGCCTGATTCGATTTATCGTAGGCAGATACTTTTGAAAAGACTTGGTGGTTTCTCATCATGATGTTTGTTTCCACGGGATTGTTGAGTAAGCCACAGTTCTCGACGCGTTTTTCGTGTAAGTTTCGAGATCTCGAAATGCCAAGATTTGAATGACTGACTGTTGTGTATCAAGGATATTTCTCCTGTTCTCCTGTTCTCGAATTATACAAATTCGTAGAGTTCGTAGAGATCGTAGAGTTCGCAAGAGAAAGATGTCAAATACCTTAATAAAATAATGACTTGTGGTTCGAGATACTGTACATACCTATCCTATCTAGATTAATATTTTTGATCAACAATAAATTGAGCCGCGTTTTCCACATGATATTCTGACCAGAGGATGATTATGATTATGATTATGACATGACATGATACTAATCCCATTCACAATTAGTCAAATTTCCAATCCTAGTCATTTTCAAATTGTGTACATAAATGACCACTTCAACCCCGCTCAAAAGCTTTTCATTTCCATGCACATCACATATCGCATATCGCACATCGCACATCGCACATTGAAGAAACTTTACCTCGCTCGCTTCCATTGTTTAGGAATTTTATGGAATTCTCGGAAGAATCAACCAATAAGATTTCGAAGAGATATATGAATTTGATCAAAGTCAATCATCTATTTTGTCTTTATTATTTCAATTCAACCAATCAATTTATTTATTTATTTGCATTCGAAATACTTTTCCATTTCTTCTTTGAGCTATTGTCGTTTACTAGCCTTCCTCGGTCTTCCTCTCTTACTCTTATGTACTATTATCGCCTCACTCTATCTCACCGCTTTACGATAAACGAACTTTGAAGTCTCATTACAAGTTGATGAAGGAGAAGCCTAAAAGTCTTTGATGAAGAGATCTAATATCCAATATCCACAAGTAAAGAAAGGAAGGAAAGAAGAACAAAGAAGAAAGCATACACCTTCATCAACCTTTTCGCCTCCTATATAGAACCGAGGTCCTTTCCTTCAAATCAAGCAGGGTGATACATGATAACCATACAGAAAGAATCTCAAGAGCAGATTGGCCCAAAGCTATTTACCTCGTGCTGTTTGTACTCGTAACTCGAATTGAGTTCATTACACAACCGACATATATTTCTTTCTGTCAGTACAATACAGTACAATACAGGACAGGACAGGACAGTACCGGTACCGGTATATATACGGTGTACCTACCTAGGTATATACATCCAAGTCTTCCAGCTGGAGGTACCAACTTACGGTCTGATCCGTACTAGATACCATTCACCGTGGCCGAAAACAAGAGATCTTCATATCAATAATCCCTATTAAAGAGAAGGGAAACTCTTTGGAAGGAAAGCGAGAGGAAGACACCAAGATTTATTCTTTCATTGATTTGATTCCAATCCGAGTTTCCTGGTCATCGCTATTCCACCTTCCACCATTCACCGTGTTAGCCTTGCATCAAACCGGATAATCTAACCTTCTTGACCTCTTATTTCAGTTCACCCTATACCGAAAACATATTAACGTCCCAAATTATCCCTTTGAAAAATTCATTAAAGGGAAGAGAAAAAGGAAAAGAGAGAAATTAAGGAAAGAGTAAAAAATGGATTCAACCTATACACCTCAGTCTCCCGATTTATCAGGTTTCTTACCACCTGATTCCCATACCAATAAACATCAACCCTCCTTTCACCCATTCATCACCTCATCGGGAACATCATCATCATCATATGCACCTAGATCACCGGGGATTCCTCAATTTGGTAATGGTACTATTCCTATTCCCACACCCACATCGACATCGACATCGACATCAACATCAACATCAACATCAACATCAACATCCAGACTTTCTCAACCAATACAACATCTCAATTATCATTCGCATCAATCACATCAATCCAATCATCCCAGATTCACTCCCAATCATCCGGGAAATGTAATGAATGAATTTCCGAATTATAATACATTTCACACCACAAATCAATATATGCCACCAATTCCCGCATTACCACCGACACATTCTTTCGGAAGTCAAGGAACAACTTTAACCACTACTGCGCCTGCTGCCACTACCATTCCTACCACTACTACAAATACTCCAACCACGGCTCCACAATTTTACTACCCCTCTCACTCTCATTCGGATTTGGTCAATAATAATAACAATTCACCCATCATTACATCTTCTTCTACTTCTCACTCACAACCGCAATCACAATCACAACTACATACACAACCACATTCACAACCACAATCACAACTACATTCACAACCACATTCACAACCACATTCACAATACCTCGATCAGTTTCAAAATACCGAAGCGTCATCATCTTCTCAATCCCCTTACGATCATCGCATCCCATCACCATTCACGCTGGGTAATGATCCAGTAGAGATATATCAGTACAACAATAACCCTCAAAAACCTCTCTATCACGAATCATATACAAATCAACTTGATACAACCACGCGACAACCTCGTCAATCACGCGTCAAATCTCAACCCATTACCACCGCTTCATCCAATCAATCTCACACTCCTCAATACCAACCCAATATGTCTTTCGCCATAGCACCTCAACCCACCGCGGCTCCTCTTACGAATAAAAATCCAAACCCAGATGGAATAGAAATCCGCACAAAGTTTCCCGTCGCCCGCATAAAACGGATAATGCAAGCCGATGAAGAAGTAGGAAAAGTCGCGCAAGTTACTCCGGTCGCAGTATCGAAAGCCTTGGAACTTTTCATGATATCGTTGGTACAAGGCGCGGCTAAAGTGGCACGGGAGAAGGGAGGAAAAAGAGTTACGGCAGGTTGTTTGAAGAGAGTGGTGGAGGAAAATGTTCAATTTGATTTTTTGAGTGAGATTGTGGGGAGGGTTCAAGAGGTTGTGCCGGCGGCGAAGGAGGAGAAGGATGGGGAGGGAAAAAAGAGGAAGGCGTCGGCGGCGAAAAAGGAAGAGGGGAGTGAGAGTGAAGTGGAGCCGGAAGTCGATGCGGGCGAACCGAAGAAAAAAGGAAGAGGAAAGGGAAAGGGAGGAAGGAAGAAGAAGGTTGAGGTTGAATCTTGATTGGAAGGTTCTACGGAGACAAAGGAATACAATTGCAACATAGCCAGTGTGCGAAATCAATACTTAGGGTTGATGGGAGATCAGTTTGCTTTTAGCTGGATGGATGGATGGATGGATGGATGGACGGACGGACGGACGGGCAAATGGGCGTTGGATGGGTGTAGCATGTACATATCATACAGTACATAAAATACATGATGGCGCTACGCGGTGGACTTTTCGATATCAAATTCGATGATTGAGGAGGATATACTTGTGCCTTGGGACTTTGTGGTGCTATGATCTTGGGGATTAGCATGATTGATTAGCTAGAGCTACCTAGGTTGGATTTATATATTATACAATTCTTCACTACTTTTATGTTTGGTTTGGCTTGTTTGAAGATTTTTGCTGGTGAAATGTTAGGAATTGTGTTTGTTTTCTTGCTTTGTTGTATTTGTGTTGATATGTTTATGGAGTATCTGTATCTGTATCTGTATCTGTATCTGTATCTGTATCTGTATCTGTATCTGTATCTGTATCTGTATCTGTATCTGTATCTGTATCTGTATCTGTATCTGTATCTGTATCTGTATCTCGTAGTCTTTAAGGAGAAGAGAAATAGTGCTTCTCGATCATTTCTTGAATCTACAGGCATAGATAGATATTAAGAAGCTTGGAAGAGGAGAGGAGAGGAGAGGAGAGGGGAGGAGGGATGGATGAGGTGAGGAGAGGAGAGGGGAGGAGGGATGGATAAGGTGAGAAGGGATGGATATATACTTGGATTTGGATATATACTTGGATTTGGATGTACTTGGATGTGTGTGAGGATTGGTGGATGGGGATGGGGAATAGGGATGGGGAATAGGGATGGTAGGTAATAGGAAGGGGGGAAGGGAAGGGAAGACAAGATGAGGAAAGCGAGAAGAGAGATGAGAGATGAGAGAATATGATGTGTATGTATGTATATATGAATTGGAATTGGAATTCTGTATCTCTATAACTAATTATCATACATACATGTGTAAATCACATTTATATTCTTCCTTTTTTTTTCTTTTTTAGATTATTATATTTCTAAAAAGGGGGCTTGATTAGTTAATTGATTATAGAGAGGTTTATGATGAGTGGGTTTGAAAGTTTGAAAGGGGAGCGAGAGGCTTGGAAAGGAGGCGAGAGGCGAGAGGCTTGGTGTTTTGCGATGGGGAATCGAGGGAGTAGAGGTTGGGTGTGGGGGTGATTTGATTTGATTTGATTTGATTTAAGGAATTGGAGTTGGAGTTGAGGTTGAGAGCGGGATAAAGCTTAGCTTAACTTAGATATTTGGTTGGATAGGTTGGATAGGGCGGGGATAAGAAATTTATCTGGAATTGGAATTGGAAAGGGGGACGGAAAATAGAAAATGGAGAGGTACTGTGATAGAGGATTTGATGAGGTGGTTTGGTTTCGGAAAGTGAGTTGTTGGGGACAAAGGGATGGAAAGATGGGGAGGGGAGTGGAGGGGGTGGATTTCTGGTGGTGGGAAATTTGTGTGATGGTGATATTTGGGGATGGGTCTTTTGAGTTTGGATTTTTGGATGGGAGGGGAAGAGTGGGGGGTTTGGTTGGGGGATTGAGGGGGTTGGGACTTGAGGGGTTTGGGGATACGGGGGAGGATAGAGGAAGGAAGGGTTTAAGGGATGGAGATGCAGAGAAAGAGGAAGATAGAAAGAAGGTGTGGATGAGGAAATAAGTTAGAGATCTGAGGCTTGAATTTGAGATACGGTTTGGGCGTGGTGGGTAGTGATGATGATGATGATGATGATAATGAGATGTGATGTGGTGACAGCAGTAGATGGAATCTTGGAAAGCAGCGATGAGAATTCTTAGTCCGTGACGAAACGGTGGCATGATAGTCTCATGGTTTGACAGTGATAGATATATTATACTAGATGTTATTGTCATTTACATCACATCATCACTTCTACTATCTATCTAGGAAATAAACCTCACATATCTTTGCCCAAAAACTAACGGCCAATTTGCAATTAGAAAGTGGCCTAGTTAAGTTAACTATTATGAGGAATGCATGGTACGCACTCCTTGTATCTGAGTTTGATTCAGTTTGTAGTTTCTGTTGGGCTTGTAAATGAGGAGGAAGAGGGGATATTTGTACCTATGCGATGGGAGATTGTGATAGGGGATGAGGTTTGTAGGATATGGCTCTGAATGGATATAGACTTGAGAACACGAGGAAAACTTTTGTGAAGGCGCGGTATTGAAATGGAATTATGATTCGTTACATATGAATGCGAAAAGACTTGAATTCTGAAAGTGGAGTCATATGGGATTCACATGCGTGGAAAGTGAGCAAGGGGGCTTATATAAAGACAGGAGACTCTAGATTTGTTTCGACATGAGGGGAAATAGATGTCGCCTGGAAGGTTTCTAATGCTGCGGTGTGCGAGAAATAGGATCCAAGTGGTTTGAAAACGCAATAGAATGGATGTCGATGTGGGAAATTTGTGGGAGGTGTGGTGTGGAAGGGGTTTGCGGGGTGAGAGGAGATGAGATGCCGGCTGCAGTGGTGGTGATGGTGGTGATGATGGAGATTGAGTGGCAACGACAGATCAGTAAGTCAAGTAATGATGGAGATAATTTATTTATATATCCCCTGATAATAAAAATTCCAGACGGTGATAACATTCCAAGCCTTGCATCGGAAGGCATATCTTGGGGTCAAGAAACGTATACTCTTATGGAATATTGAAGGAAATTCAAGATGTGAGAAAGTTCCATAGCCGCATCAGGAGTTGGAAGTCCTTTGTTCTTTCGAACTTGAGTTTCTTCATTCGTATATAGAGTATGGTCGAAACGAGAAAGAGTTATATACTTCCTTGTGGGAAGTTGATTTGAAGAGGGTGGAGATACGGAGGAGTGCGGAGTGCGGAGTGGTATTGAAGATGATTCACCTACGTTAGATGATCCCATAGCAGGAAGAGAATAGCATTGTATCATGCTCACGTAGCTGGAGTACCTAGGTATTCCCCACTGTCGATATCTCTTCAATTCACTTGTCTCATTTAAATCAGGATCGACTTTGAAGAAAATCTTGTTCAAGAATTATAAATATTGTCATCAAACTGGTTATCTATCCATAACTACAACGATCGCTTGGTCACAAAAAGGATTCGCGGGGAGGAGTTTTGTGAGCTCGGAGACTTCTGCCGAGACAGGACTGTGGGGATTAAGAGTGGGAATTGTTTTAGGCTTGGATTTGAGGACAAGATTGTTGATGATAGGGATAGGAGGGGAAGTTGGTGGATTCTTGACAGCGAGAGTAGATCCAGTATTGAGAGCTAGAGACAACCAGACTCTTGATTGAAAACTCGACTTTCATATGCTTCGACAGCAGTAGAGTTAAATATTAACCGTCAACAAACTTTACCTACCAGCCAAACTATTCATATCTTCTTCCCACCTTTCACCTTTCACCCTGTAAGCATCAAGCGCTTTGTGCGTGTCGTGTATGCGATCCTCCACATCCACAAAATGTCCAGACCTTAGAGGCTCTAGTTCGTTTTGCAAGACTTGGACATATTTTTAGAGTGAGATTTGCCTTATATTTATACAATAGTATGGATTGTGAAATATGAGGAGAGTTGAAATGAGGATACGGATATATTAAGCGAATTCTCTAGCGGATGTCAATCATTCACTACAATATTAGTCGCAAAATGAATACATTGAGTAATTGCTTACACATCTCATGTCCGAGACTGTTGAAGTGTGAGTATAAAATCTTCTTAGTATCATTCTTTCACTCATAGGTACAGATTTGCAGAGGAAGATAACAAAAGCAACAAGGTAAACCCTCGTCGTCAAGATATCCGGGTTGGTGAGAGAAGCGTAGGAAGATTATATCAGGTGTGAATATAGAGAATGGAGGGGAGAGTTTAGTGGATAGAATGAGCTGATTAACTTCCATTGACAGCAGATGAAGAAAGATCGGTAATGAAACGCTTCGGTGAGAATGATAAGTATTTCCCTAATCTCCTATCTACTAATTAATGGTAATGCAACTGGTAAAAATCGCCATTAAGACAGTGAGAATCTTTCATTGAGGAATAATGGTTCTAGAACATGAGTTGAAGAGACTAGGTAGTACTTTATGTCTCCGCTTTTCAATGCGAATTCCTCGTACATACGCGTTGGACATTCAGTTCTAGTCCCAACATTCTACATAGTTGTTGACAAATGGAAGAAAAGGGTAGATGATAGTTTATATATGTGGGAGAGGAGAATTTCGAGACTGGAGCTCTACTATACGAGTGCACCAGGCGGTGTGATGGGTGTTATGGTGCAAAAGCACGGTTATCTTCTTCTCACATGCTGAATTAGTGAGGGTATTCACTTATCAAAACCCAAGTGCCTACAATATGGTGTGGATTGACTCCCACACTCCACTACACAATCTTTGGTTCCCACATAAAGACTCTTGGAAATGTATCTAATATGTGAATAAATAGGAACTCCCATATTGATATCGAAGCATCAAACCTCTTTCAAACTGAACGACGTGCCTCCACATGCACCAAAAGATCTCCATCGGAAGCAAGAAGTGCTTTTGATACAAGACATTCGTCAAATTATATAAAGGAAGACAACTTAGTCTTAAATTTCGTTTATATATGGCGAGATTAGCAATGAATTGATATGGTGGTGAAAATGGAGGCGGGTGGTGAGCGACAGTATAACGTGTTTTAGGACTCAATAATTCCACTACTTGCCGCCTTGCGACAGTGATCATTTACATTGCCAATAAATATTCTGTAATATCCCAAGTCAACTGTTGAGTACATACTTGTCAAATAATCCAGGCAGAACCCCACACAGTCTTTTCCACTATTTAATATGGCGCAATCAGTTCTTGCAAGATTCCAGTTCCACAATGCTACGAGGTGAACGTCGAGTGGTGCAAGTTTAGTTTGGAATGAAACCATTGGCCGCTACTATTTATATCGAGTTTATAGAAAGTGAGT